TGGCGGCCGGAAATGACGGCCCCGCGCCGGAAGTTAAGGACGCGTTTTAGAAGCAGTCTCAGACTCGTCGCTGCTCACTGTAGCAGGGATTTATGAGGCACTACCGAATCAAAGTCGTTTCGCCTCATTCGGCAACACGAAAACCCTACCAGGACTAGTCCGATGATGAGTTTCCGACTAGGTGGCGTGTGCGCAGGATTATATTTAAAGCACGTGCAGGGCGGTGCCTCATTAGCCGACATAATAATTATATGACACGATTATGAAACACGCATGTAACTAGCATGCAACAAGCTTCTGGCGGATTTAATTATGAGACTATGCGTAGTTTTCCGACACAGCGCGAAATCTGTTGATAAGCAGGAAGGGGTGTAAGGGAAGCATTTAAGTTATTAGGTTACCGTTTGTAACCAATTGTTTCACGAGGCCACTCTTTAACTAACAACCCTCAGGCTGATAATGTCCCTATATATAACAGCAAGGTACAATGGACTACCGTGTAACCCACTCCTTGTCATAGAATTGGCTCGTGACATTTTTTTACAGTGTATAAACTGCTGAAAACGAATGTGCCCCATGCACGAATGTGCCCCACTCTCCCCTACACCAGCCTTGTATACGGGTCTTTGCTGTCCCGGCTTGCTACGAATCCCGTCGGCGTCGGTTGGATCGCTGTACGGATTAAAGGCATTAAAATAAAACCTGCTTCACGGCGAAACTTTGGGTACATCATTTCATTTTTCCATATTTGAACCTATCATTATATAGGTTCATCCATAATAGTCCATTGCCGTCATCATGCAGATCAAACACCTGTTTATTTGTTTTTAGGAAATAATTATTTAAGCATTTTGGAATATTACAAACACTTTTATCTCCCCATTTCACAAATCGGCGAATGACCTTCCAATCTACAAGCTGTTCAGCTTCGGATTTGGTTTCAAACAAATCGCCTCTCAATCCCAAAGAAAATTCGCCGGCAGACCATCAGGTTATAGCAGGTGAAATGTCTCGGGCTCGAGAGCAAAACTAGCATAGTTTCTCGTTTGGGGCTGATGGGATGCCTGAATCAGAATGGATGTTCAATATTGACGCTGAAAGCCTACAGAGATTGTTTTCTATTTCTTCCGCGAGCAAGGCACGAGGACGGCTGAGACCGTGAAGTACACACCATTCACAATGTTGTGTGACACTGATACAAACACGTTACCAAACGAGAGAACGGCTTAAAAACGTCGCCGGAGAAAGCCGAGCCGCGGCCGTGTGAGGGGGACGGATATTTATCGGGGCGTTCTGTTAGCACGGCTAGCTCTGGGAGCAGCTGGCCGCATTGGCCCGGTGCCAGACAGCCGGCCGTAAAGAAGTCAGCAGTGGAGTTGTGTCGTCCATACGCGGCGGTCTGTGGAGCCGACCCGGCCTGCCGGCCTGGCCCCAGACGCAGCGGCGGCCATTCGCCCAGCCACCCAATGAGGATGTTGGCCGCGCGCTGAGCACCGAATTTAGCTGACAGCACGAGCGTGTTGTCCTGGCCCGGCCCGCCGCGGCGCATCCGTAAAACCACGCAACGGCCGTCTGCGGCCGACAGCCCGCCCCCAATAGCGCCGCTTTAGTGGCCCGCAATAGCACGTTTCACGCATATAGCCGTGTTACTTTGGAAACATGGCGTAACTGGTCTTATCAGTTCGCTTTTATTTCATTTTATGTGAACAAATAGAATGGGCAGTAGGGCGGGTCATCCGAGAACTTTTTTTCGAGGACACACAATGAAGACCGAAATTCCTACGGAGCATGTCACAAGAAGACTGTGTGAATTTTTTCAATTTTTTTGGTTGAGGTTGCGGGTCGCCGCAGCCAATTAATCAACCGGGGTTTTCGCTACATTTTCACTGCACGCGAGTTTTGAGCACAAATATCATATGATTAATTATTTTCAAATATATACCTCGAAACTTCAGCTATTCCTCAACCTATTCTGCAAGTCTGTTGGCTGTATCTCTTTAAGTGTGGCCATGGTGCCATGCTCTCTGTATCGGTTTTCCGCAACTCGATTGCAGCGCCATCTCTTGAGAGGACTGTTAACCTTGCGTCGGCCGAGACAATATGCATTCTGCTGATGCGATCTTAGGACGCTGATGAAAAAAACGTAAGGCACAGGAGCGTATATAGCGTGAAAGCTGTCAATTGCAATTAAAGTAGCCATGAAATGTACATATTGGGGGTTCACCTGACTTAAGCACAGCCATTATGCGCCAAGTGCGATAGTGTCCGCTGGACCTATTAGTCATTTGATTCTGCGCTGAGACTTCAGCAGCATTATTTTCAGTTTTGGCTTCGATTATTTCCTTGCATGTAAATTTAACCTTTCTTTTGAAATGCAAACCTAGTGTTGGAACTGAACAGTAGCAGCTCAATTGCAGAATAACTAAGTACTAAGTTAGCCTCGTCAACTTAGCCCGGCTTCATCTGACAACAGACTGAGGATGAGTTGCGAGGTATCCTGCTGATCGGCGATCCGCGTATCATATCACTGCCCGAGTCGCGCGTTCTCATCGGACCATCAGATCCTATTTTGATTACCTATTGGGGCTGGGCCACCGCAACAAGCAGTGGAGCATCGAGCTTTGAGGGAAACTGACCTCATAATAACCGCGGTAGTAGCTGCTAAGTGGTCTCCGACGCAATTTGTGATCCCAATCATGTGACATTGTTGCAGTTAGTGGAAAGGAGCCTCCATGTCGAAACGGAACTAATGCCGCGTGGTGGTCCTCGGTGACACTTCACATTCTGTTCTCGGATAGGCAAGTGATTACAAAGGAAATGCCCTTCTGCATTTTACGTGCATAAGGATGCGTCGTTTATCATGATAAATAGGATAGCCGTGCTGGATCATCGGCTATGACGAGCCTGTTGGACGAGCATATTGCTTCAGTAAATGAGCCCGGTAGTCAATACTTATTCTATTTTACACCAAAATCAGACAAGGGCCAAACTATTAAACAAGTTTACAAGACTTGTGGAAAAGCCACTGGACTAAAGCTGCGCCGATCAGTGGACCATTTACCAAGAGTGCCTGTGCATCGAGCAGGAACCGTTCGTGCCGTTTCGGGCAACGCCATGCAGTCCAGATCAGAGAACACTTCTGAACAGCCCGGAAGCAGGCGTCACGCTCTTGACAAATCCTGATGTAGCTGTCAGTAAGGAAGATTGAGCCCTTGAATTTGGTAAAATGGCTTACGTTGGCAGCTTGCAAGTTACGTATTCCGTCGCGATCGCCCATCATACAACATATATTGACTAGCTTCGAACTATCACCGAGTTCAATGTTGTTCACTATGTCCCAATGTGGTCCGAAATTACGGAGTAAACATTGCAGAGACGGATTACTCCAAAGCATTCAGCTATTGCGAGACCTCTCAGCTCACCGGTCTGTGTTATTCGCCCAGTGATCGACAGGAATAAGTACCGGGCTCACTATAGGAAACTTGTTTGGGCTGTACTGGCCGATACAGACAGCCAGCAAACAGTGCATACATGTACACTGCGATGCTTGCTGAACTAAGGAATGGTGATAAAAAGACTCGAGACACTTATGGCAAAAAAGTATAGGAAGCGAATGAGGCAGGAGACATAAAGATATGCGATTCTATCAGCATTTTGCAATAAACAAGTCATGCACTACATGCACCTCATAGATAGGTCCAAAGAACGCGTTACAGAGTCACCAATAGCAATCTCGCTGGAAGAGGGTGACCTTCGACCCGCTGCTTAACAAATTAATTTCGATCCGGTGCATACCCATACTCACTACTCAGGCAGTGGAGCGAGCCGTCCGGTTCCTAACTTAGGCAGCATACGTTGCTGTTATTAAGAGAGCACGTCTCGGTTACATCACGTGTGCCATCAGGACGCAATGCAACGCTCTCATGCCGGCGTTTGAATCAATTATCGAAGTGTGATTTTCTGTCCTAGGACGGTTAGGTGGCTGGCTACATTGCATTCAAAAATGAACATACGGTTTGGACTGATGTTATCTGTCTGCAAAACTTAATTTAACTGATAAACATATAGGTATCAAAGTTAAGCATCTCGCTGTTTTCTTGGCGAAATCACTATAGGTATAGCTTCCGGAGCAATTTATGATTCCTGAAGTATTTCGGATCGAATGGGTACAACTCACCTAGTGTCAAATAAGGAACACCAGACACCTAGGAACACCAAAGAACACCATATACCCGACGTGGCAGCGGCTGCGTCAGCTTTTAACGGTCGGAAAGCCGTCAAAATCAATGTTATGCCAAACTCGCTCAATAGATGGCGCTGGTTTCGTTGCGCTCAGAGCGCCGATGCTAATCGCTATTCTGAGCACGATTCTGCCACTGGGGTTTCCAAACTTTGTGAAGAGGTGGGGGTAAGCATGTAGAAATAGGAAAGTGGTAAATATAGTACCTTTCTCGAATTTTTCCCACTACATTTTGCAAACAACGAGAAAAATTAGCAAAAGTGGTCTCGAAAAACCGTTGACGGCGCGCCCAGTTCTTTTTCAAAAATTCGCAAAAAATATGTTTTAAACCGTTTTATGGATCAGCCCGTAGGAAAATCGCTCTTCACTTGGAAACTTTTTCCATCGACCCGCCCTAATGGGCAGACTATAAAGGGGGCTTGTTAGCTCTGCTGAATTCTGGCGCGATCTGCATCCATATTGATGACTTCATTGCTCAGTCGCCAGACCAGTGAGCATAATTTTGTGATATCATGAACCATATGCATTCAAACAAACACACATATTTCAACATTTGCTTACATTGAGCCCCCTATAACCCTCCGAAACGGCCTCTTACGACCTTCATAGCTTCTACTAGGCTCATACTGAAACAAAATATCATAGATTGGCCGGCCGCGACCCAGCCTCATGCCCTACCACACCCCGTCTCCGTCTGCGTTATCCCCAAACCGACGTCACAAGAGCTGCTTTCTCATACAGTTCTCCGACTCTGCCGCAGATTTCGTGGATCCGTCGGCGTGACTTTCACGTACTAACCTCTCGATCGACGGTGTTCACGAATGACGCTAGATTCAGCGTGCAGCACCGCTCCGGGCCCGTCGAGGACTGGGCGCTCTCCGTGAGTCCCGTGACAGCCTCGGACAGCGGCGTCTACGAGTGTCAGGTCAGTGGGGGAAGGGGACATGGGGGATAGAGGTGAGTCCATGGGCAGAGAATAGCGTCGGTGGATCAGTGGAATGTGGATGGAGAGGACGGTCATTAGGAGCACGGTGAGGCAATGGTTGTGGGACAGAGAACAACGCGAGGTCCGAGGGGAGGATAAGCCAGGGTGGGCCAGGTGGGCCAGCACCGCGGTGGCATGTGCCGATTTTTTTTTTGGGGGGGGGGGGATTCCGCCATGGCTTGAGTCCCTTAAATGTTACTGATGAGCCCTTCAGTAATTAAAACTCCCGTGTCGCGGCGCATTGGAAGACCAAATATTTTATTCAAAGGCACGCCAAAAACAGCAGGAAACACAGGAGTCGTCTGTTCCCTGAAGTAAGCGGTCGGTAGACATAGTCATGACAATGTATTCCCAATTCCCATGACATATTTGCTCCGTGTACCATTCTGGGTCAACATCAGGTTTGCAGGGCAGTGTCCGAGAAAACTTTGTTTGTGAGCAGTGAACCATTATGAGACAGCCCAGTTCAGGTCACATTACATAAGAGTTCAGCACATGTGGGGGCTATGAGCTCATTTGAATTAATCATACGGATAAATGTAACACGCAATATGCAGAACTTCCGTTACATAAAACATCAGTTTCGTGGCGAGGCTTTAAACGGGATTTTGGAATCAAGTTTTCCGCTTAATGAGCTAGCTTCTGTGAAAAGAGGACCTCCAGATTCGCCTTGCGTAGGCGCTGGATTTTGCAATCAGTAGAAAGTACGTAGGTACCATACTGCTCGAACAATAGGTACTTCCCTGGAGCGTTGGGCTATTGGTTTGAACTAAATCGATATTCACCTAAAATATTTACATGACTGAAATACCCAAAAACCAATTAAACTTAATATTCATATTGCTTCCCTACCTAAATTTAGTATTTAATCAACTCCGTCTCTATAGGATTTGGAAATACCATAGACTACTCCATGTACTTACCTAGTATACAGTATAATTTATGGCAACACTTATCTTGCACCGTCAAAAGAAAAAACTAGTAGCCACAGATTGGCCATTTTCTTTTCGCTCAGGAATTCGGTTTTCCTGTAATTGCTTCATGCTTACGTTGTATTTAGCCCGTAATCCATCCAAATCTTCTTCATTGAAACTCACGAACTCTCAGACAGAAATATATTCACTAGAAAAGCGCACCCTTCAAAACAGAGCACACACTTCTAGCCTTTTGAATAGACCAATAAGCCGAGGAGCACTCGAACGTTCGACCAATGCTTTCCTGAAGCGATGGACTTCAGCGAGAGCCATACTCGCCGCTCACAAAAAGCAGACGAGTGTCCTCCAGCTAGTGGCGCAGTGTCCAAAAAACATGCTGACATCAATGCGGGGGTCGATGCGCGTCGGTAGCTCTTTTGCGGAAGACGAGCGTCATCACTGTAGGCCGGCAGACATTACCGAAAACATGCGCCCGCTGCCCAGCATGAATGCCAATGGGAAATGACGCAGCGCGTTTACCACTCACGCTGCAGGCGAGAGAATCAGCTATGGTATTGCTCAGAATGGTGGGAGAGATGAAATAACAAACACGAACTATGGTATGCGCACCATGCATTATTACGATTCACATAGTTATCGCCTCTTAGCTTGGCAATATTCGCAACTGATGGAGCCGGTAACTGAAATAATTCACAACCACTCATGTCTCTCCAGGTTTGAAACAAAAACATTCACTGAATTAAATTAAATGCAAAACTACAGCACAAACGCCTCCTACTATAGTCAGCTACCATCCCGCCCCTACGTATACTTTGAGTGACACCGTCTGGCATGCGCGGCGTGCCGCAGGTCTCCACGGGCCAGGGCACGCTCTCCCAGCTGGTGAACATGACGGTGGTGCAGCCGGCGGCCAGGATACTGGGCGCCGAGGTGCACAGGATCGAGGAGGGATCCGACGTCACCATCCTCTGCGTAATTGACCAGGTGAGACAAGAGGCGACCCGACCTAACCTGACCTGTTGTGACATCATCTGACCAGAAACGATCTGCATCAGAACTGAACTAACTCGCTTCTAGCTGATCCGATTTGACCCAGCCTGAAGCGACACGGTCGTTGGGATTAACAATAAGCATGCTTGCTTTAGGGAATGCTATGATGATACTTGGACTCGCGTTTCACGCCGATTTTCATCGCATTGAATATTGATTGAGCGATGTTATGAACATCATCAGAGTTCAGTATCCCATCACAGATTATGTCGTCGTCTTCATGATAACGACTTTTTTGTTCTTGTGGCATTGTGTGTGTGCTCCGGGGCCCAATACCAATTGTCTCATTTAGAAGTTACATAGTGCTTGGAATTGCATGCAGCTGGCATAGCGATATCACGGTCAAATGTTAACGTTCATTAAAAACGGTCTGGTCTGTTGGTGAAATATATAACAACGTATTTCAGAGTAAAAGGAGTGTCAACGTGCAGAAAGTTATTTTTTATCACGAACAAAAGTCCCGGAATTCTGTTTTTATCCAGTATCGGCAGGCATAGATATAATTTTCCGTTCTAACCACGTATGTCTGCCGTGCAGGCCGTGTCGGACGTGGGAGCCATTCAGTGGTGGCGCGACAACCGATCCCTGGCAGACTCCGAGCGCGTCAGTCTCCAGTCGTCGACCAGTCCGACGCCGGCGCGCAGTCCGCGGTCACAGCTGCACGTGCGGCGCGCTACGTTCCTCGACAGTGGCCTGTACACGTGCGGCGGTCCGCACGTTCAGGCTGACTCGGTCCAGGTCATGGTCACAGAAGGTAGGTCAGTGCCGAAGGCGACTCAAGTTTTGTGGTATTGCCGCAACATTGTGCCTTTTGCATTTACTCGTACACCCCTACATAAAAGTTGCATGCATTCAAACAGCATTTCTTGTTCGCACTAGGAAAACAAATGGCTATGAAAACAAAGACATTTATCAGGACTTGCTGTTGGCTGTTGTTTTATCTAAATAGCGCATTAAAGACAGTGCTGACATTCATTCAGACAACTTAGTTAGAAACTGCTCATCGCACAAAGCGTAAAAATCGAATGGTTTCATGCTGTTGGCCTCGCCTGGTCGTAAGATGCTACAAACTTTTCCCGATAGTACCAGCATGACACTTTGGGCTGCTGAGAGAGAATTTACTCCGAAAGAGTCGGTCTCGGCCGGCGGGAGAGCGGTCTGTAACTCGGTCCGCTGACAGAAACAGCTCAGCGCTGGACATTACTGCGTGTTTCGGCACCTAACCGCCGGCCCCGACCGGCCCCTGCCAGTCCGCCGTTCGACAAAAGTATCCGATAAGTTGTCCCCAGAGCACCCAGCCTAAGTGAGCGTTGATTAGAATATATGTCTGGCGCATGCTAGTGCTCCCTGCTAAATGTGTTTACGGCGCTTTTACGCCCCGTGTCCCCAGGCAGTGTTGCTGAAGCAAAAATGCACCAAATGTTTCTATTTCTATTGAGCGAGATTGCTCTAGTGGCCTTGTAAACGGCGACTGGTGTTGATGACAATATCATGAGCCCCGGTTCGGGTTCCAGCCCAAGTCTGGCAGGAATGACAGCGGTCTCGAGCCGGCTTAGCCTCAGCAAGGAGGAACTTCATAGTTAATTGGCTACAATGTTACACTTTATGTCAGCTAATAAAACGTCCAGCGAAAGCTCGGCACTCCTTTAAAAATTTGAGACATTGTTTTATTTTTTCTGCATGTTTCCATATGACTATACGAGTAGATGCAACATGGTGAATTATGATAACGCCTTGAAACTTCAAACATCTTTTTCTGCTCTTCTTTGAAATTCACCCAAAACAAACACAACTAGTGTAACTAACAGCCAAAATATTGACCTAGCTGACTTCCTCTCCGCAACCTCTCACCATCCAATCACCGAAGTTGCGAATCTGCGGCAGCTGCCGCTGTCGATAGCCGGCCGCGTTTCGGCGCTAACCGCGGCCGTCTGGTATAAAAGGATGATAAATCGAGCACGGCAGGCAGTCGGTCGGCCGCCGCCGGCACAACTGATGGCGAAACGCACCTTCCGGCGATGGCGCACGGCGATAACGGGCGATGGTGTGAGGACGTTATCGACCGGATCCCGGAGATGGTGCGGCGCGGATCCTGACGGTGGATTATCGCAGGATCCCTGCGGTGAAGGACATTATCCGCAGCCAGATTTCTGTGGTGTTTAGGATATTGTCGGTCGGATCCCTGCGGTGTAAAGATGGTATCGGTAGCATCCATGCGGTGTATGGGATGTTATTGACCACATCTTGGCGGCGTGACATGTCATCACCCATGATCCTATGCTGTGGAAGGTTGTTTTGGGTGCCGGAAGCAGCGGCTGACTTTCTGTTATCCATATTTTTATCCTAATAAATTTCCGACTCATTTCGCCGATTCGAACTATTTGCTATAATTGGAACTCTCATTCTTCTAATTATTATGTTGAATAATTGTTTTAATTCATCTTGAAAGCTGACGGACTTGAACATAATGAAATGATACAAAATTTGTAATCAAATAATTTGTTTTGTGGAAATGTCCTTGACATGAGATGAGCAGACGAGTTTCCTCTCCAGTATCCGGCCGCCATCACGGCGCTGGCGTCAATGAACCTGTCTCGAGTAGCTCATTAACGCGGGATCCAGGCTGTCAAATTAAAAGTCGGTCGGGTCGCGCTCCCGGTTAAGTCAAAGTGGAGCGGCCTACTCGCTGATGAAGCCGATTATTGACTCCGCTAGAGATAGGCATAAAAATTGCAAACTAGGGGACTTTGTTTCCGATTTTATTTGTTTGATATTCTAGACAGGAAAATCGCACCACTTTGCGTTTTTAGCATCTGGTTTTATCGTGAATGGATCAATTTGTCAGGATAGAGAGAAGCTACTTGGAATTCTTGTCAGCTCTTTAGGGGCCGCTTGGGAGAACTAGCGTTGAGTTCGCAGGGCTGCAACGGGAGCCCAAACGATGTCGGGCAAACGTTTGTCTGAGTGGCAAAAAGACATGTTTGCTTGTAGGCAATGTTAAAATTGTTTCTGCCTCTCAAATTGAATTGCAGTTTTTGTTACCTATTGGCCTGGATATGAATGTTTAACCATTCCATTAAACACTAGGGTCATGTCCAGATCTCTCTTCTCTCTCTCTCTCTCTCTCTCTCTCTCTTCTTCTCTCTCTCTCTCTCTCTCTCTCTCTCTCTCTCTCTCTCTCTCCCTCTTCTCTCTCTCTTCTTCTCTCCTCTCCTCTCTCTCTCTCTCTCTCCTCTCTCTCTCTCTCTTCTCTCCTCTCTCTCTCTCTCTCTCTTCTCTCTCTCTCTCTCTCTTCTCTCTTTCTCTCTCTTTCTCTCTCTCTTCTCTCTCTCCTCTCTCTCTCTCTCTCTCTCTCTCTCTCTCTCCTCTCTCTCTCTCTCTTCACAGCAGCATATCTGGTTTCGTCATCTTATATAAATCACACTTGTGGCCTGGGATAATAAAATAGCTTCTGTGTCGCCTCTAACATGCAACCCTGACTTCGAGGCAGAATAACACTACCTACCCCATCCAATAACCCACTTTGAGGAATGTAATGCCAAACCCTTAATCGAATCTGTTAATTTTGGGTCTACTTTTAGGTCAAGCCTGGTCACTGACTTGTGACAAGACGATTGTGTCACTTATGCTCTTTGCACGCTGCCAAACAGCTCACAGAAATGCTGTTGGCGTCCATCCATGTGTGCTGTGTACACGTATTTCGAAAGTTTCACAGTCAGTACTCAGTAAAAAGCTAACAAACTTCTAAGTCTGCGTAGCGATATATTATGATATCGAGCCTCATCGCACCCCCTTCCCTCCCCACCCACACCGATGATTCGGGGTCACGGGCCATCACCGAAAAGAAACGATTTGGTGACCAGCAGTCAACAACCTGTGACCACGAAACTTTCAAAGGACACAGCATTTATGGCACTAAAAAGCTAAAATCCAAACCCTCCTAAAAATCAAACGACAACCAAACCCCAGTGGCGGCGGAAGCAGGGGGGCAAGGGGGGCAGCTGCACCCTAAAGCTATGGAAAGGGGCGCGCCTCGAAAATCTGTAGAGGAGGCAGGAAGTTATAAGAGGTGCGGCGGCCATAAAGCTGAGCAGTGCGACACCGCAACTGATAAAGGCACTTGTGACACGAAGAGGGTGGCAATGACTTGGGAAAAGTATCTTTTGATATGCTGAAGAGTGGAGGGCATCCTTATCTGAAACAAAGGCAGATGCTGCCGACCCTGTCGAATATAATCTTGCCAGGCGATAAAGGCTAGGAGGGCGCAGCCACTCGCGAAGCGCGCCATGCGGAAGAGGGGCGCCTGCATGCGAAAGAGGGGCGCCTGTGTGTGGGACGAAAAAGAAACATGTATGGAGACGTCTTTGAAGGCGATAGCCTCCGAACGCCAACACGAACATATGAGGGCTTATAGCGTTGCAGGCTCCATGCGACAAAAAGGGGCGCCTGATGGCCGATATGCGAGAGGAAATTAGTTTGTGTAACATTTATCGGGGGTGGTTTGCCGTTTACAAAATATGAATGTTAAGGGAGGTCCGAGATTGGGACCTGTAAAATTGCACTGTCCGTATGGGCGGTTACACCCCTAGTGCTAGGGCGTATTTTGCGTTTTTTACTGGGGAGATGATTATGACCAGGAATAGCATTCTGCAAACTTTCTATGGGCGCCTGTATAGGGGCGAAACTGATTTTCCAGTGCAGAGACGGCCATCGGCATTGTGGGGCGGCATTCATTCCACTGGGGCGTCTGCCAGTGTTGAAGGGCGGTATTCATTTCAATGGGGCGCCCGTTGGTGTTGATTGGCGACATGTATCACCTGGGGCGCCTATCGGAGATTGGGGCGGCATTAATTTCACTGAACCGTGGAACTCTTTTCGATATGCCTTATTCGGAGAATCTTATGATATGGTGATGAGGTTGTTTCTAAACGAACATTATGAAGGTTACATTTACGCTATGGAATGTACAGTAGGTCTATTAAAAAAGTCCTCAGCACCAGTGGGCGCTGCCTTCGCTGAGCCGAACCCCGTATGCCTGTCCCGTATCGCGCCGGTATCAGGTCAGGTAGGGTCAGCGAGACCGCTCGGTCCGGCCCGCGGGCGGCGGACGGGCGGCCGGTAACGCTTTCCGCCAGCCAGCTGTAGAATCCAACAAACGAGACGGCCACCGCTCAGCGCAGCGAAACCGGTGTTAAAGAATGGCAGTAGATGTTCATTGTTCATGGCCACAATGATTATGAGATAGTCATTGTTAGCCCGTGCCCTACAGGAATGCCTAGACTCTCACGCCCTGTTGGAGGGGAAATGGGGATTTAGCATCATTCTTACAACTCAGCTTTGGGCATTTAAGTGGTATTCGAAGTAGCGTCGAAAGTAGCAAAAAGAAGAAAAATACTTCAGCCAATTTTAGATCGGTTCAGAGCAAAAGGTCATGTCACCAGAGGTCATCGATGGTAAAATTTTGCTTGGACAGGATGCGTTGTGCGCGCCGGTGCATTGGGTTTCCAATTTCCATGGAAACATCAACAGACTCGGAAGCTCGTAACGCTTGCGTGGAGCCGAATTCATATCAACCGCCGCTACAATGCATGGCAGCGCAGCGCAGCGTGCTGCAGCGCGGGGCCGTGAAACACCGCCCAGGGCTATCCATGTATCAGGGCAATCCAACCCACGTGATGGGCTCGGCCCCAGCGGAGCATGAGGCTCAGGACTCCCGCCCAGGCCCCCTGTCTCCCCTAATTCCTGTCATCCTTCCCACTCTGAAATCGACCGAAAGAGCCTAACCTAACACAACAAGCAGCTCGTTTACCGCTATGTCTGAATAAGATTGTCAGATTTAATTAAGGTCAACGGCTTAGCACGTAAATAACAGCAACTGCCACCATCGGTATTATGAGAAAACCAATTGCTTTTCCACAAACACTAAAAGTTTTAAGCTAAACCTGCATGAAATTAATTTTACCAGCCTCGTGTTCCTCCTATCAAAACGCTTCGAATGAATCAAAAGTTGATCTTTAAGCCTCACCGGCACAGGCCATTTTGCATCCTTCGACGGCACAAGGGGGGGGGGGGGGGTTGCACGCCCCCCCTCGCGCTTGGCCCCTGATTGAGCTAGAGCTTCACGGAAAAAACGAGCGTGCTGCCGTCACGAGAGAAAGCCGATGATACCCAATTTTAAGGTCCTAGGTCATCGGGTGACCTTCCAGGTCAGGTCAATGACCCGAAAATCGGGAAAATGGGGACCTGTTAGAAAGTCGTAAAGTGTGGCTGCTATGGGGTTTTCCGGGGTGCTGATCACGAATATCGTGCTAGTTTTGATCAGAGATGATGTCTTAAAGCATTTAGACCAGGTCGGGTCAGGTCAGGTCAGGTCAACCGGTAGGGGTCACGACGGGCATTCGTAATACCTGTCATCCGCCTCTGACAGCTTTGTAACATGTTACGAAGGCACCAAAACTAGCTTCGTAAATGTTCAAATGGTTGCTAAATTCGAATTCAGCTCCAAAAACTGGCATAGAAACATGTAAAACTCGAAAAAGTGAACCGAGGTCACCAAAGGTCAATGACCTGACCTGACCTTCAGGTGATCTTTACACCCACCCTAATGCATCGGAGCAACATCAAATCACATGTTTGAACGCTTGAAACCACGAAAAGCTTGCAAACGCGCGGCTAATGCGAGCCGACATACGCCGAATCGCGATTCCGGCCAAACATAGTCTCGGAAAAGAGGTCACAGGTCAAAGGTCATTTGGGTCAGGGTCATGAAATTTTCAGGGTAGGTGTAAGATTGATCAATGCGAGGGTACTGAAAGTTTCGTCGCGATCGGCCGCTTTTTTGCGAGTTATTCGCGAAAAACCTTGGAGGGGGGTTGCATCAACCCTCCCTCCCTCCCTGTGCCGGCGAGGGAGGTCATTTGAAGAATTTGGCCTATGTTCAAAGACATGCCTATGTTAAAAGACATGACCTGACCAGAAATGGTCATGATGGATAGCAGGATATTAGATCCGTATCGTGAAACTTTACTAACACTTTAGATGATTTCATAACTTAAGCATGTCTATCAAAAATATTTATTACATGGCTCATGTGTAAGCTGGGGTGTGATCATGCTTACGAGTACCTATGTTGAACGCAACTGATAATGTTCTGTTGGCCACAATTTCTATATTTAATTTATCCTCCCGGATTTCATATTTTATTAATGGCACCTTGACGATGTCGAGAAAAAAAAACGCTTAGAAGATTTAAAAGCCTGAGATACATTCAGTATAAGGAAGGGTCAAGTGTGCTAGATTCCTTCCGTCTCGCTATCCTCAGGAAAACAATCCGCATCGCCCCTAGTCTTCATGCTTCCCTCTCTGGACTGGAGGTCACCCCACCAGCCAACCTGTAGTTGATGTCGGTTCCATTCCAAGACACATAACCCTCTTCGGGTGACCGTTGGGGAGACGGCTGGACCGCCCGACAGGGCAATCGTCCCACGGGAACGGTCACGCTTCCGGAGTCCGCAGATCACTGTCGCTGGCTCGCACAACCAAATTACTACACCAGAGCATAGTTATGTCATAGCTCTGCAAGGACCTTCTCAGGCCGAAAAAGATGGCTCCCAACAAAACAAACAATTTTCTCATTCAGTATTGTATCTCATCAGGCACCACATGTTTTCAGAGTGTTTATTATGCGTTCCGTCCAAAAAAAGCGCAGTTCAACTTTCTCCCATTGACTTTAGCGATCTCAAAATTGACCCGACCTTTCTGTCAGCAATGTCAAACTTGCAAAGTAAACGTTTCAAATACATATACTGTTGCCCATTGAAATCACTGAAGGTTCTAAAGCGATCGGTTAGTCGATGTATTTAGATATGATGAGCACAGGAACTTTCCTTGAGGTAAGGTCACTTGACGTGACCTGGTGTTATGACCTTGAATTGAAAGACTTGGGCGGGAAAATGGATCATTTGAAATCTTAAAATGTTAGATTTTAACAATAATTGCAAACACTATCCCGGCCAAATAGTGAGTGAGAAGGGAGCGATTCCCCATCCCATGTTTAGCTCCTATAATTGAGCTAATTGCTAGAGCCTCGCGGAAAAAAAAACGAGCGCTTGTGTCGTTACGTGACGCAGCGACTGTCACCCCATTTTAAAATATCAGTGACCTCTTAGGGCAGGTCAAGGGCCCCAAGGCATTGGATCGGTTTTTGGTGAATAACTTCGCAAAAAAAGGTCGCATTATCGTCATTTCGATACAATCGTGTTTTCTGTTCAGTGTTCTCAGACGCGTCGATTTATATGCTTTTTGCTTAGGTGAAGCAATTTAGGATGTTTAGGTCAATGTCATGTTAGGGCAACACAGGTCACGAAGCTGTTGAAAGGAGGACACGCTGCGTAACATTTGATTCGGTAAGTCTTGCAGAGTCCATTGATGGCTGTCCCGACTGGCTAGCTCATTTTGATCGGGAGTTTTTGACGAAGCACTCCTATTGACGAGCACTCCGATACGCAAGGTGAACAATGCAAAAGTGAAGCATTAAACCTTGCCAAGAATGTATGAAGTCACGATTTCATGTGCATGAGGTATAGTTTTAGCTCATTTCCGACGCCAAATTAACAGTTTCCATACTTTCCCATTATGCTTATATCATGACACTAAGTGCATTGTGGATTTGCATCATTTTATAACCGACAACCGTGCAGTTTACAGAGGTTAGACGTCATAGTTAAGTGACCTGACATGAAAACGTGGTTAAATGATCCGGCTTGAATCAAATGTAAGGCATATGAAATGTCAGCCTTCTATCATCAGTGTGCTTTGAGCTACCGCAAAAAAATGCATGGTGGCGGCATCCACCCCTTCTTCTCGGCTGGCGAGGGTTAAACCTCGCTTCGAATTATTGCAGATAATGATGCGACCGAAAACAAAGCATTTGTCTGTGTCTAGAACGGCCGCTGACTTGTTGGACAAGATCCCCAATCTTAATTTGCTAGATGGGAATAAAATACTCGGCATATGATACATATATACCCCTCGATTTGCCCTCGCGCAAAGTCAATTCTAATCATCACTGTCGCTTTTTTATCTGAGATGATGTCGCCACTAAACGGGTTGTTTTGTTTGCTTGCTTGCGTTGAATGGTCATTACGGATTATTGAAGGATTACGATATAATAGGAATGGGGCAAGGGAGGATATGCACTGCAGTGCAGGTGTTTAATTTAGATCTCAAAGGCATCGTTTCCGGCATCGTGCAGAGTCACTATCTTCCCCTCCTCTGCACTGCGGCATCTCTGCGCCCCACACACCGCGTCCTCGCTCCACGGCCGGCCGCCGCCAACTGACCCACTCGCCGGGCGCCGCGACCTGACCCGTGTTACTGCCGCGGCCTGCGCAATAGAGTCGGGGCTGGAATCCGGGGGTTCGGCCGGCCGGCCGCCTCTGGAGCGGGGGACTTTTTTAGTAGACCTTGTACCTAACTATTTCTCGTTACATAAAAACTGTAATTCTGAACGTATTAACAGGTACCACACATTGTCAAACGTCTCTCCACTGTTTGTGTTACTACAACCGTGTATATGGTAAGGGGCGCCCAGCGGGAAGGGGCGCTTCAATATCGTTTGCACCCCTATCCTAGAATACCTTCCGCCGCCACTGCCAAACCCCAACACTACCGACCAAAACGCTGTAAAAGTACGAATAACACCAGATGAAAGCGGTTTAAGCCAACAACATCGAACTTTCGTGGTACTTAAAACCAGCCACGAGTTGCCAAAAACTTAACCGCTGTTTTGTGTTACAGAACTTCCAGAAGTTAGTTCTCTGTAAGTCGTCTAGATTCCCGCTAGCCATAGCACTGTTAGTGACTCGTTTTTTTTTCTGCCGCGGCAGGTGACAAGATTGCTGCTATCCAGAGGAGGGGCGGAGCAGGCTCGGTCTCCCGACCTCCGACCCTGCTGGTGTCGCTGCTGGCGGTGGTCCCCCTGCTCACCGCCAGTCCCGTGACCCGGTGATGGCCACCGGAAACACCCACTTCCGGTCCGACAGTGACCTGACCCAGCGGCGGCTGACCTGCCCAGAGGTCACACGGGGCGGGGCATGAACCGACAGGTCAGATACAGGTCATTTGGGATGTTGGGTACCTGATCTGACACTATACGGCTGGTCTGATGGAGACAAAAAGCTCCAGTTCCGGCCGAAAGTGCGGCGAGGAGTCTCACCGCTCGATGTGCTGGGCGTCGTGGGCTTACATACGTGTCATGTCTGAGTGCCGTGGTGACGTGCCAGACCTAGTTTTGACACACTGTGATACTAATCTTCGAGACCACTCACTGTAGCATGCGACGTGTATGTATGCTGCTCGTAGATCTTCAAATAGTGGCATTGTCGTGTGAGATGTACGTACTTATGAAGAGTGAATATTAACCCGCGCCGGGCCGGTGCTCGATTCCGCGCTGGGCCGGGGGAGGGGGGTGTCTGTACACCCCCTTCTTACTCCGCTCGTGGGCCACGTAGCGACACGCGGTAAGCGGCAATCGAAAGAACGTCCAAAATAAGGACAAAAATACTTCGGTCATTTTTAGGTCAGGTCAAAGGTCAGATCACCAGAGGTCACCAAAGGTAAAATGTTGACTATTTAAACATTTGGAAACTGCCCACGGCTATCTCGGGAACCAATAGAGCTACGGCGCCGCAGAAAAGCGCATTCGATAGCCCTTTTACAGACCTTTCTGAGAGATGTTCTCAGATTTGACGTCAGGTGAACGGTTTAGCCTCCAGAGGGCAAAAACTCCAAAAATAGCTGTTTTTACGAAAAGCGTTTTTTCGGCAATAACTTTTGACTCAAAAGAGTCATGGCATTACTTTTGCCAGCATCGTGTTCCTCTCGTTGAGACGCGTCGAATGAACTATAATTTGACCTTGAAAGGTCAACTTGCAAATTTGACCTCAGGTCAAGACCATGACCTGACCGGAAAAGGTCATGTTGCATGTCAGTCGATCCGCAACGTCGAGCCGAACACTTCTAGGGCGTTTTCAGCGCTCTAGCACGCCTCTATCAGAAGTTATTAGCGGAAAACTGTTAGATTCTGTTCGTGACCTGAGATAACCTCGGGGACATAACGAGGGGTCACAGTTGCCATTTTCCGGTTCAGTGTGTCAATTGTACCTACATCTCGATGTTTGAGAGTGTCTAGAATAGCGTTCGTGCAAAACAGACGCTTTTCAATTTTCTCCCATTGACTTATAATGGAGAGGCCGCAAAATTGACCTGACCTTAGGTCACCGATATCAAAATTCCGAGATACACATTTTATAGATAATGCTGCTCTAATCAATCGCTGAAAGTTTTAAGGCAATCGATCAGTCGGTGTAGCTATGACCAGCGTTCTTATTTTTTTCTGAGGTGAGGTCACTTGTCGTGACCTGGTGACCTGGCCTAAGGCGACCTGGATCTGAAATTTTTACAACATGTGTGAAAAAGATGCACGAACAGGTGTGCAAAAAACAGTGGCGCTCCGCGCCGCCGTTTTTGAGATATCTGCGAAAAACCACAGGGGGGGTGTTCAAACACCCCCCCCGGCCCGGCGCGGGTTAACTCTTGCTTATTTTACGACTGTGGATGTTTTACTATCAACAGGGATAAGGCAAGTACTTACAATAAGCTCAATACGGTCGCTACGTTATTTTCTTCCAATTATTTAACAAAAGATCTACCAATTATCATGGGTGTTTGCTAAAGCTATGTGCTGATCTTGCGTACAATAATCATAGTGACAATGTCATACAATGTTCAACTATACGAGGCCATCACCCTCGCCGCCGCTGGCGCCTCATACGCAGTTCACACAGCTGGAGCGGCGCGCGGCAGTCGTCCGTTCCACGTCCATACCAGCTGTCGTCCGGCCGGCTCAATTCCGCCAGACGAGAATACATTCTCGGCAAATCTGACCATAAAGCTCGCTCTGCTAGCGGCTGAACTCCTCCCAGTGGTGGTGCGTCTCCGCGCGACTCGTTCTGCCCCAGTGAGGTGGTCTATATTCCGGCCACGGGTAACGGCCGTGTAACCTCTGTCTCTAGCGGGTATGCGGTGTCTCGGGAAACGGCGGCGTGACGCGGCAGTGGTGATAACATCGCCGCGGAAATGGACAAGCTGACACGGATCGGGACGATTGTCGGCTCTCGCAGAGTCCGGGTCATGCCGGCTCGATCTGGTGACAATGAGTGGCGCAGCTGGACGTAATGAAACTCATCAGCGCCCCCGGCCGCTCCTCAGGCCGTCAGCCCGGCGCGGGACGGCTGCATTACGTTCTGTGTCGCGGGAGCTCCTCGCACGCATCGCTTGTGGTGATGTGTGGGATTGTTCGTGAGCGGGGCTGTTCCGTGCGTGTGTGATTGTTCCGTGCGTATGTGATTGTTCCGTGTGAGAGGAATTGCTCCGTACGTCAGCAGGGCCGCCAGTGACAAATGTGCGACTGCTAGCCGGCGAAGTTCTGCGCTGCTAAGATGTTACAGTGTTTCTGCGTCAGTGGAATGCTGAATGATTGCTGAAGTTATGGAAATGAATTTCGCTGTGGTCGTGTGGATTTGGTGCTCATATACTCAAATGAAGAATTAATTTAGTCCACGTCAGGTGTTCAATTTGAAGCTGCCCTGACTGAAATCCATTGGGAAGTCATGCTGCGTCTCTCAAAAGTAGGTAGCCGCACATCTGCTGTCGTCTTCTGGTATCCGGCTAGATTTGTTCCGCTTCGTGTGAAGAGCTCGTTTCACAGTTGAAAAACAGTCGGCTGAAATAATTTACGCCCGAAGATTGGCAGAGGTGCCTCTTCTAAGTTGATGGTAATTGGGTATGCTGACGGAAAACAAAAAGAGTTCCAAGCCGTAATAGTTCTGCCCTAAATTCGCATAGTTTGAGATGCGTTTCATTAACTATGCTAAACGTGTGAGGCAGGCAAGCTGTGAAAAAAACATTCTTCAGGACTGCAGATAAACGAATTAGATATATGCCAACTACTTATTTCTAACGTAATGGCGCCCATAATTTGCCTGGATTATTCGTTGCATTACTAATTAGGCTAAAGAAAGAAGAATGAGACGGCTCAGGCCTAGTGCCACCACACACGCCTGACTTATTGCGCTGATATGACAAGAAGATGGCCCAGGCCAGAGCACGTCAATGACAGCTCGGCAAACGGAAGCCGTGGTGCAATAATATTGGCAACAAGTGGTGAGGCTCTAATGCGTCGATCCTGTCAGTAAAGGCTTCTCCTCTGAAGATCTTTGGAGCACTGCTTTTACGATGAGGAATCATCAAGGCATGCATTGATCCCGTAGGCATGGGATTTAAATGTTCTATTCTTAAACAATTGTGTTGTTCTTTTTTTGTCTCAACAAGTTAATTTTTGCTAGAATAGAACACGTCAGTTTTGCATATTTTTCGTAAGAAAAATTGCAATAGTTCGTGGTTTTAAATCGTAAAAGCATTCTGAAATGCGTCATTAATCCTCCCCATTCGAACTCTGCGTCACCGCGACACGGCGGCGCCTGGACACAAGATTAACCTCTATCTTGGAGTCAGGTGAGTGCACGGGGCGCGTCGGCCGGCTCGGTTAATTGGTTCTCGCAGCTGGGCGAGGCACGCCGGCCGACGATGATGGATGCCGGCGAACGGGGGCGGCCGCCGGGACTGGGCTGGGCCGGCCCCGATGGATGGCATCTCCATTGGTAGGCTGGGAGATGGATAGGTCAGAGCACCGGGTCCACAGAGGCGCCGGCGACTTATTGCTGGCTGAGCGGTCGCCTCAACCGGCAGCCGGACTGGCTCAGAGGAACGGGGTGATGGGGACCGGGGGCGTCCCAGCAGCGGGTCGGCGTTACTGGACCTGGAGATAAAACGGCGGCAGGCAGTGTCAAACCTATGAGCGTCCCGGCCACAGTAAATTGAGATCCTCACATGGACATTTAAAGCTGCTTGCTCATTCAGGTGACGCCTTTAATATTAAAGGTAGTCATTGAAGCTGGCATTTCCGAATCCTAGAGGAAAACCAATTTGTGACTTGTCCTGGAGCATTTGCCTTCCAAAGAAACGGGGCAAGTGATGCAAGTGTTCACCGCCCTAAACTCCCGTTTAACAATTTCTGATTAAGAGCCTTTGACATCGGCCACGTCTTCTTAAAGTACACAGTTTTGCTCCATCTACGTCCTACATGCTGTCATATGAAAAAATGAAAAATTATTCCGGTGCCTTTCTGGGCGTCCGGCGCGAAGGTCGTTTGTGGTTAGTTGGCTCCAAAGTCGATAATCGACGGTGACGCCCGCATGATGAAAGAAAGTCGGTGCAGATGATCGCCGGACTGAAATGAATCGATCCCGTGCGGTTGTCGCTCCGCTCACCTCCGCCTGCCAATGTTCTGCTGCTGTCGGTCGCTTTCAGAATGCTGCTGAGTTCGAAGAATATTTCATTGGATGTTGTTACATGTTAGATCTAAATTACCTTAGACCGGCTTTACTTTTTATGTGTGGTAATTTACGACAGACAATAATATCGTTCATTGTTGGTCCACTGGAGTTAAAATATTCTCGTTTGTTAGATTGTTTTTCACACCGGTTCTCCGAGTTGTCAACTATATAAACAGAGCCAGACCAGCAAAACTTCTGTCCTTTAATAGTTTCTATCTTGTGCCACTGTCAGCTCATACTAGCTCCGACAATAATTCCATGACGCTCTATGAATACCCTTGAGAAAGTTACATAAGAATCAGACCTGAACCTAACCCGGCTGCCGCCGCCGACTGGCCGTGCCAGACGAACAAACCCGCCTGGGGCGCGGAGCGGGGGGGGGGGGGCGGGGGCGTCCTTGACCGCGGTCGATTCTGATCAATCGCTGTCGGCGGAGCGCGGCCGCCCGCCGACTCGCCGGGATGAGCCGCCGTGAACTGAGGTCCGCCGGCCCATCCCGGTCACGCATCACATCACTCGGCGCTCGGCCAGATATGACAGAAACCATTACCGATCTGACAACGCCAACCAATAAGCGTCACACGTTAAATAGCCGCGGGTGTGGGCTGCGCAGTCCCGGCTGGATATAGATGCGGCTCTACGTGCCAACGGTTTTTATTATCGAAATGGAACGACGCGGCGTGACGTCAACAAACCGACCTATCAATTTGATACAATGGAACGTTTCTATTTCAGTTAACTATTGACACCTTACAACTTTCGGACCCATAAGTGTGACAGCTGTACACGCATTTATCACATTCCAGTTGAGGCCTGCGATTGCGAAGCGTGCGTATTTGACGTAGTTTTGTTGATGACGCGGGCCCTCTGCCCGGGCGACCTCTGACCGGTCGTGGGTCACCCGGCCGCCCGGCCGTAGTCGGCTGGCGGGCCCGGCGTTGTGGAGACGACTGGTCGTGAAGAGGAGCGAGACACGATGCGGGTAAGTGAGCATTGTTCCGGGAATTGTTACCAGGATGGGTTGCAGGACTAGCATGGATTGGTGACTTAGAAGGGTAGGCGGCAGTCAATGAATTCAGCACTCATCTCCATTGGGACTCAGATTCGCGCCAAATTGCCCAGTCGTTTAAAAGCATCTGCATATGCTCATTTTTTTTGCGTTTGCTATGCCAATATCCAAACCAATACAAATTTCGCATTTCATGGAGTCGGGTTCTGCGCTGCTGCATGTGCACAGTTGCAGGAGCCGTTTCTATACACCTACCGAATGAACACCCAACTTGAACTCTGGGCTGGCAGAAGTCCAGGGGCCGTATTTACGTTGACTTGGTAAGTCGATTTTCTTTCGTAAGTATCATTTGGTATCCACGTCGACGCTTCGCAAGTTTTTATCGACGGAGTTCACGTCATTAAAAAATTGTTGAAGTAGGTCATGCGTAAGAAAAATTTTACGAAAATGATCGACCTGAATACGGCCACAGACTGGGTTGGGTCGAGTGACATCCCTTCAATGGATTATCATGTATTTGCTGACTGATAGCATCATATATAGATTCTGGACACTGCACTGAATCACATGAAAAGCAACGTTTGCCCTTCAAAAGCCGTGTGAACCTCAGCTTCAGTATAGTAGGGGAGAGTGGGGTAAGATGCCCAGGGTGGGAAAGACGCCCCACCCCCTCTAGCGATGAAACAAAGAATCGGACCTGGAAATTAATGTTCTTAGCGTAAAGCGGAAGCCTGCCCTGTTAACGGCACAAAAAATTGCGAAGCTCAGTTGGGCAACGGCTGGCTGATGACTGCATGTTTTTTATTTGCTGCTTTCAAAAAATATTTTGGTGTCAGAACATTGTAAATATCAAAGAAGGTGAATAATTTTTGCGTCCCTTGCTATAGTCGTGATACATTAGCATGCGTGTACTGTGTCCCAAACAGTTTGTTTCATGGTGTAGTTTTATGGCTAACAAATTGTACTGATTTAATGTTACTTCGGTACCTTGGGGTAAGATGCCCCCTGTCCTGATGGGGAAAGACGCCCCCCTAAATCCGTAGGCTGTCCTTCAAACAGCCCGTCAAATCATTTATTACATACTTGTGATGTAGACAAAAGCCGATCTGGGACTATTGAGAGTCCAGTACGGTCGGGTGCTCCCCATGCCGGTCTCTCGGCCCACATAGCGACTTTTTGGGCGGCATCTGACTCTGAGAGCCCTCACGACGGCCTCTGTGGGCCCAATTATTGGCTCCAGGGCCCCTCACGACATCCTTTGAGGGCTCCCACGTTGGCCCCACGGGCCGCACTGGCATCGGAGGTTCCCACGATGGGCTCGAGGGCCCTCAAGCATCATGAAGACCTATAAGAGCCCCACGGTGGTCTCCGAACGCCACCACGTAGGCTTGTTTGGCCGCGCTGGACTATGATGGCCCTAACGATGACCTCTGAAGCCCCTTACGACTACTTTTGAGGGCCCTTATGATGACGTTTGGTGTCTACTGCAGGCTCGAAGGGACTACTGATTCGTTCAGGCGATTCACGTGCCCATTTATGTCACTTATAGTGCAGGGGGCATCTTTCCCAACGTCAGGGGGCGTCTTTCCCACCCTGTGGGGTAAGATGCCCCCTTTCACTTCTTCAGGAAAATGCTTAATAGCAAAAAAAGTAATAATATTTCAGGCACGAAAGTGTGACATTTTTGGAGAAAAATGATGTCGGCTTCCGTTGAAACTCCAAGTTTTTGCTTTCCCATCGTCATTTTCGAATAATATATGACATAGTAAAACCCTGGGCATCTTTCCCCACTCTCCCCTACGGGGACCCGCAGTTGCTACTGTACAGCAACCCTGAGTAAATTGTCCCAGCACCCTCACACGGAACAACGATAAGCTGTCAGAGGGCACGCACAGAAAACCTCAGCTGCTCTTGTACAGGGACCGGCAGCCGATATCAATGTTATCGGTTGTTACCTACTGGACAGGCAGACGGCTGGAGTTGGGGTTCGTGTACAGTAGCAACTGCGGGTCCCCGTACCACCCTTTTTTACCTTTAAAGGGACCCTCCCACCTTCAAAAAAGTTAATGAATTGGCATGAAAGTGTTGTCGCTAGGTTCAGAAAGAGCAAAAACGAATATCTACCAAATTTCATCGAA